AGCAGATTTAAAGTTGGGATAAATAGGACCACTGCTCCATGAAGTGCACTGGTTTGCTTCAGGGTGCAATTTAAGGTGTTGTTAATTATCTTTAAAGCCCTTTATGGCAATGGTCCTGACTACCATATCATTTCATTGGGATTGGTCTACCCCACTTGTGCTGACAGAAGAATCATGCTGCAGGCCCCATCTGTCAGGATGTTCAAGAGAAGGGTATTGACTGCTATTGCACTTGAAACATCTAACCCACACCTCAAAGTGAGGTCAGCTCCAACCACGCTTACTTTCTCTAAGACTTTAACAGTATGACTGAATAATAGGTTTGGAAGGGACTGTGGAGGTCTTCTAATCCAACCCCCTGTTCAAGCAAGGAGACCTATACCCAGAGGTGGTACTCATCTGGTTTGGACAGGTTCACCTGAACTGGTAGCGGAAATCCTGGGTGGCCCCCTGGCTTGATTCCATCCTATTTAGGGACGTTTTTGAGGTTGGGTGCATGTTGTGCAGAAGGTGTGATAGTAAGCAAAGTGCATGCACGGAAGGCTGGGCGCATAAACGGAAGGTGCCACATGCCTCTGGTGAACCATTGGTAACGAAATGTGCAACCCACTGCTGCCTATACCATTTCAGACAAATGATTCTCCAATCTCTTCTTTAAAACCTGTTCTGCCTTCAGGTCCTTTGGAGAATAGATTGACTCCCTCTTCTCTGTGGCAACCCCTTAGATATTGGAGCACTACTATCATGTCACATCTAGTCCTTCTTTTCATTAAACTAGATATACTAGACCCAATTCCTGCAACCGTTCTTCATATGTTTTAGCCTTTATTCTCCTATTAAAACTTTGTTGCCTTTCTTTGCATTCTGTCTACAATTTCAACATCTTTTTATATTGTGGTTCCTGCCACAATAGTTGGGGTTTCAACAGAGGGGCTTCATGTTGCGGGTGGTTGATAGATTAACAACAGATCCCAGTCCCTTCCCCCTCATTATATTCATCTCCTCATCTTTTTAGCTAGATTATTTTTATAGCATTCTATTTATATTATTATAAATTATAGAGTTTTATCTTAATTTATATTTATTTCAATATTGTAAGTCACACAGAGTTACTGTGTGACAAGAAGGGCACTAATACAATTTACCAATAAATGAATAAACAAATAAAATTTTCAAAGTTTTTTATTTCCTGCATAATTTTTTTCAGGATTGAGTTTACATATATTAGATAGGCAGATAAGCTCGCGAAGCAGCAACCTGCCCCTGTAACAAATCATCTTCTGTTTCTATTATATGTATGTATGTATGTATGTATGTATGTTTGTATGCACACACTTGCGCGCATGCACGCATGCACGTGCACACACAGACAGAGAATTATCAATGACAATGGATTTATTCCAAATGATAGTGGGAATTTTGTAATACAGTAGAAGGATTCCTATAAGATAAAATTCATGACATATTGGCAGAAATTAAGTGTAAAGCTGAAATCATTTTTTTTTAAAAGAAATAAATTGGAATGGGTATCATAAGATCATCAGAAAATGCAAGGAAATTAGAGAACAGCAAACAATGAAAACTAGGAGAATCAGAAAAAATGGATTGAGGAAATAAAGAACCCCTATATAATTTGTGGTGTATTCACGTCCTTCTATTTCTTGTTGGAGGTCTTGTGGGTCAAGCTAGAATAACCCATATCAGTTCATTTTGACTGCATGGTGTTTTTTTTTCAAAATAGAGATGGCAGTCTAAGGAGGCTGCTTGGGGTGAGGGTGAGAGGCAGATGAAGATGGTAGAGGCTCCTGCCAACCCCTGTTTTTGCTCCCCCCACTAGATTCCCCGATCTAGGACAGGGTGAGAAAATAGGCAGTCTCTGCTTGCTTCCGACCCTGGTTATTTTGACATTCAAGCTACATCGCAGCCCTAACATTCAGGTGCTAATACTAACCCTTTCGGTATATTCTTTTTTAAAAACTTACAATTGTCACGAGGACAGAGAACTGGTTGTTAAATTATTTGAATACCACCTCTGGTTATGAGCTGTCCGTGTTTTGGCTGGCTGGAACTTTTGATATCACCACCCCATTTATCTCCTGCTTACCAAATTAGCTGGCTTTGCATCTTCTAACAGATCTATGTTGGCTAGTTTATGCCTCCGTGTATCTTGAACATCAAATCTGTTGTACTGTTTACAACATACTCTGTGAATCCAGGCAAGTGAGTTAATGTAATAATATGCAGTTCAGTTAACTATGGGTTAACACAATTTGCAAAGGCAGATTGAGGTTGGGTGGGAGAAGGGAGGGTTCTAATTGATTTAGTCTGGTTCACGTGAACCAATGTTAAATGATAATATTTAATAGTCAGATTGGGAGAAGTCAGTTGGAAAAGACATGCCTGAAGGTATATTATTTCCAGGGAGGGGGAACAGTTCTAAAATATTCTTGGATTCTTTGAGGAGCTTGCAACGCTGAGAGTTCTTTAAAGCAGGGTCCCCAATGCACAGATCATGGGTTGTGCAGGTGTCAGGAGAGTGCATGCATATGTGCAAAGCTCCCCACACATGAGCGGCGGATGCTTATATGTGTGAAGCTTTGCTTGTGTGAGCAGTACCCAACATGCGCTCACACATGAAGCTCCCCTCATGTGAGCAATGGCTGCTTGCACTTGCATGCCCATCACTCACACAAATGGAGTTGCATGCGCTTGTGCACGCCCACCTGCTACTTGCAAGGAACTATTTATTCCCCCAACCCCCAGTGGGACACCAAGTCAGAAAGGTTGGGAACTGCTCCTTTAAGAGCTATGATAAGAAAGTGGCTCTCTTTCTACTCAGGAATGGGATTCCAGCTGTCATTCACATGGGATTTAAATTGTACATAGTCTTCCGTTCTTTTGCCCTGCCTCCATGCTTTGTAGATCAGATACATATCAGAACTGGTCTACTTCTACTTCTATTTTTCAAGGGAGATTAAATTAAAATAGTAGGTGCAACTATGGAGAGGAAGAAGGGGTGTACGGTACTGCAGGAATCATACAGAAAAAACATTTGAGGATGGGAAGGATTGTGTGTCAAGTGGGAGAAAAACTAGGTCCCCTCTATGAAGATGGGAGAAGAGTTGCTTTCAGCTTGCAATCCAAGGCTTCCTCCCCCACTTCCTGAAAGTTAAGTGCTGCAGAATAAGGCAGGTGGAAATTATCATCAGAATAATTTTGCCCATTGAAAACAACACTGCATTTAGCCTGGAGCTTCATAAGAAGGGCTGGGGACAGTGAGTAGGGGTTATGCAGGTAGTGGAAGAAGATGGCAGTTTGGTGTCTGTTGTGGCCCAGCAGGAGCTGTTGGAGCTGCCACCAGACTCCGACAGCCAGGGGCCCTATGAGTTGGCTCTGGAGGATGTGGACGACCCTGGACAGGGTTCTGACTCCGAGCAGGGCGCAGAGAGACTGGTTGGCCACAAGGTGGCGCCTGAGCCTTGGACCAGTGGGGAGGAGACAAGGGAGAGTGATCCAGAAGCCAGCAGTGAGTTGTTCCTGGATGCCCGGAATCGAAGAGCTAATAAGCGCCAGGAACAATTACGCAAGTACAGGAGGTAATTGCGCTCAGCTGGTGGTCATTAGGCTCCTCTCCAGACTATAAAAAAGACTGCTTGTGCACACTCCCCTCTTGCAGAAGTCAACACATTGACTAAAGAGAACATAACTAGCTTGACAGGCTGGATTACTGCCAAGGTTTGTCTGATTTGCTGCCAAGGTCCTTATCTCTTTGTTTGCTTGGCTTTCGGCTACCGAGATTTTGGCTTCTTGCTATTAAAAGCACATTCTAGTTAAGTTTGTCTTGGCTTTTATTACTGGATGGAGGGGGTCAGTACAGGTGTCTATGGAGATTCTCAGTCATCCAGATCATGATTGTCCGAGAGATGCTTTTTCAAGAAGCAACTGAACTTTCTTTATTTTCCCCCAAAGACATTTCATTTCTCCTCCAAGAATTGGTTCTCTACCATTCAGTCAAAACTGAAGAAGCTTCATGGATGAAAAGTGAAACTTCTTCAAGAAAAACAAAAGAAGTCCAATTGCCACTTGGAAAAGATGGCAATTTCGTGTGTCTAGAGCACCGGAAAGCGGAAAGGCCTATCTCACCAAAGAGAGCAACTAAGTGTTGGTCTAGTTCTGGGGTTACCAACTCCCCGCAAACTTCTTTCTGGCACCATAAGACTCTTCCGATCATAGCTGCTAAAATCAGTGATTTGGTTTCCAACAGTGTTGAGGAAAACAATAAACACAAAAGTTGCCATTTATGCTATGTTTTTAAAGATCTCCCCCCTACTCCTAAACTTTAAGGAAAGAAACAGAAAACTCTAGCTCTGTCTATAGCTCTGGAGGGTTTCATTCACCACTTTGCATGCCTTTTCTTTTCAAACAACTTTAAGGGCAATCCCTAGCCATCCAATGTTTCCCACCCTTGAATTAAACCATCATTTTTGAACTATATTGAACTATCTAAATCTAATCATGAAATATGTTCGAAACATCATGACAAATTTAATAAAAGCTATAATTAAAAGATAAGTAAAAATCTAACAAAAAAGAAATAGGCACCTTATTTTACAATTATTTTCTCCTATAACTACAGATGTGTTTCCTTAGAAAATAAAACTACACTTACATCATTTAGCTGCCTTGATATTATTTTTAAGCAGCTATTGTTTTTTCCATTAAAAAAAAGCTGGCTTCTACAAATCAAATTCACTGCACATATTTGAGATTTCTATCCCAACCTCTTACTCTGTTCTTGGCTCTCAGACATTCCCTTATTCTCTTCAAAGTGAATTTTGTTTATGTAATTGATTTAACAGTAAACCAACACACAAAATGTAAGGCTAAAATGAATGTGGCAAATCTCTTGCAATTTTAAAAGACAAATAAAAACTTGACATTTTTGGAACAAAGATACACAAACACAGAAGGTTAATTGATAAGTTCTTTTTTATTAGCTTTTAGCTAAACTACTATAGAGGCTTGCAGTTTATAGCGATCCAAATATAGAATATAAACTTTTTTTTTTAAAGAAAAGCACTTTAAGATTTCTCCCCCCTAAACCTGGGTATGACTTTTTGTAGGATCAAAATAGCAAGTGATAAAACTGAGCTGCTTGCAAAATGCAACTTCAGGTTTCTCTGTTTTCGAAGAGGAAGTTAGAATATATTATAAAGTTGTTTATTTCCTGGGACTCCATTCCTTTGCAAAACATTAGGAAATCATCATACTAGAATCTACAGTTCACTGTAGCAATTGATTGGCAGTAGATTTAGATTTGACAAAAGTGCTGACTGCTTATATTAAATATATCATATAAAGATAAGATCACATATCATGATTTGCTTAATCACAATTGATTAACTTGGTACAACATGGGAAGCTGTGAATCATACAAGATCTACCATGGCTAAGCAAGATGTACAGATTTACTGTATATGTTTCAAAAGTGGTAAGAACTCTCTGTAATTCACATTGTTTTGTTCACATAATAGAATCCTAAAATTGATGCATTTTCTTTCCACATAATTGCCATCACATCAGGGCTACACAACAACAAATCTTGCCTGCAAAAATCCAGATGAGCATTAGTGGGCTCATGTAATAGAAATGACTTTTCAACTCTTATTTAGTCATTTGGAGCTTTGAAACCAAGTCATGAAATGACTATATAATCGGAGTGAGTAGGTGTGTTCAAGAACTGCAGTTTATCCTCATGATTCTCATCCCTGCCACTGCTTTCCTAATCTGTTTTCTTGGAGCAGGACTTCAGCTGTGAATCTTGAAATCTTACTGCATTAACTTTAGAAATTTAGAAACTTTAGACAACTTTAGAAATGACCTACTACACATCTGTCCAGATTTGCTTAGGTATTAGCTGAAGGCTAGATAGTCACCAAACATGGACCATTCTTAATCTGCTTATACAGCCTTCCTCAACTTGCTAATGGAAAAACTATAAATACCAGTGATAGAAATTCTGGCAAGATTGACTAATGGACAATACTCAGATAATCTAATAAAATTTATAATCCTTACTTTTCCTTTTTTTTTAAATTGAGATCTGGTGCGTCTCTTTGTTAAATGCATAGCAGAAGTCCTGCCTCAAAAAAACAGATTAGGAAAGCAGTGATAAAATAGCTGCAGAATTTTCTGGTTCTGTTTTAATTAATGATATTCATGCATAAAATGTGTAATTCAAAAACCTCAGAATAGAGTGTTATTTTTATCAGATGTCTGTGAATAGTAGCAAGGTATCAGATAATGAAGTAAAGATGTTTAAATTCACTTAATTTCTTTAAAATATATATGTATGTATGTATGTATGTATGTGTGTGTGTGTATATATATATAGAGAGAGAGAGAGAGAGAGAAAGCAAGAGGCAAAATAAACAAATACATGCTACACTTATACAAGCAAATTTTGATAACATAAATTACAGGGCTGTTCCTTTTCTTTTTTTGTTGTGATCACAAATCAACTTGGTAGGTTAGCAAATATTAAATTAACAAAGGATTCTCTTTTCTTATTTCTTACCACTTTTTACAGTTGAACATTTTTTCACATGATGAATAATGTGCTTTTTTTGAAACACCACTGATTTCTATATTCATTTCAGAAATGTTACTGTAAAGCTTGCCATATCCATATAATGCATATATCACTGCCACAATAGAGGAAATCATTGTAATTGAAATTTTCATCTTAAAAATAAATAAATAAATATTCCTTACAATGGCTATTTTTCATTACACTAAGCTGGCTACTTAAACATTTCGATGGACAATGCAAAACTGTCTCATTTGCGTCTTCTTTCAAACATTTGCAGGGTACTCCATTCAGAAGATCCTAACATGGAAACAAAATAGTGCAGATTAATTGAATATAATAAATATTTACATATCTTGATAAGCTTGCCTGAAAAATAAGGCTCAATGTGATGAATTTCCATTGTAAGCTGTGCCAATAAGACCACAACTGGTATGCTGCTTCCTAATTTTAAATGCCACATAAATTTGATTCACAGTTTAACTCATCTGAACCAGCTCCCGATATTGGTATGTAATTTATCCCTGCCAAAGAGCTTTTGCTTTTGTTGAGTTAGAAAGTTATTGATCATGAAAATATTTCAATGTTATTCAGACAAACAAAACTGGACTTCTTGAAATTCTCTGAAGATTTTTTTCAATCAATGGATGTTTGAAGAACTAATTTGCATCATAAGGTGGCCCTCACATTTTCATTTGACAAATTTCCATGATCATATGGCAAGTGCATTATTCACCATCTACTATATCCTGCAGTCAGCAAGAGGCTGAACTAGGTGACTTTCAAAGTACTTCTGATAAAACATAGAATTATCTTACAGTGGTAATAATTGAGAGTCCTTCTCAATCTAGATAATCTCTAAATGTATAGATTTAGCTCCCAAATTTTCATAAATGGCCATGTTAGCTTGAGAAGTTGGGGAGTTCATGTTTACATATCTGGAAGATGTTTGTCTGGGGAAGATTGTGTTAGCATATTGGCAATTATAAAGGCAAGTGATAGACCTTACATTTTGCTGGTTTTCATAAATGCTTAAAAGACTGGACTTCGTAACTGTAACTAAAGGAACTAACATTTTAAGATTTAATTATTAGATTGAAGTATAAAGCACTTGACAATTATAATTTCATAAAATAGTTTCCTGGGTGCACATTAAAGAATTGCAAAATCATTAGATGATATGGCTTAGTTAAATATTTAGATAAAAAATAGAAACTATTTCTTTTAAAATATTTTAGTAGTTTTAAAATGTTTTGTAAAGTTACCAAAAATACACATCCCTTGAGAGCCTAACAGATTTTAAATTTATAAATTAAATCATAATAAACTGGGAATTGATGCTGCATAACATAAAATTTGATTTAATTCCATAAAGATGTATAGGATCATACAAAAAAGGTAAATTGACAATTATTGTGCCATTAAAAAAGAAATTCATGGACAAAGGAACAGTGAACAATTTTCAGCCTCCTTATTTCCTAGAGGAATCTGTATTTTTTTCAAAGATTTTGGACTCCAAAGACCATCCTTCCTGTTCATGTTACTTCCATAAAAAGTGAGTCCTGGCAACTTCTTGGAGAACTCAAGTTATCTATATTTGTCTTAAATATTGTAAGAAACCATGTATTCAAAATGTTACAAAATAAAAATGAAAATTGTAGATAAGTAGGTTTTTGCTTGACTTTCATTTTATAGTTTATACATACCAGAATTTAAAGATCTTTTGCCCATGAGTCCAACAAATGAGTTTGTTTTATATCCTGAAAAATATATTTGTGGGATGTTTAAATACAGTACATTTGAAAGATGCCTTTTTTTGGGGGAGAAAAACAATTTGGAATGTGAATGCATTTTCACACTGAAATACATAATAGAAACAGACTCTAAATAGTTGAACTCAAGGCTAAATATATTTGACCCTTAGTTATGAAAATTTTTATTAAAAATAAAGATTTAAAAATGTCATATTTCTGCAGAATCTGATTGTGATTGAATAACTTCCCATCTTAATTCATTTAAAATGGGACTGATTAATAATAAAAAGTGGCTTCCAAATGTGAGCTATTTAGCTAGGCTGTAGTTTAAAGCATCAGTTTATTATTCATCTATTCTAGGCAGTTCTTTCAACATACTTTGGAATGTGGACTCACTGGAGCTCTCTGAGCTTGGGTATTTGTTCATAGGTTTGCATCTGGAGGAACAATGAGGGAAAGATTTGGCAATATAAAGGTTTCCCAGAGAGAGGCCTGGATCAAGATCCTGCACAGTCCCGAGCTGGATGGGAAGTGGGAAAGAGATTCAGAGTAGCCAGAACCTAGAATTTCTCAGGATATATCTAGGTGAGAAAGTTATAGCTTTAGGTTGGCAAGATTTATGTCCAGTAGATGTAAGGAAATAAAGGATTGAACTTGACTGGATTTTGCCATGACATCAATCTTGCCACTCAAGCTATGACAGTATTCAGACTAGGAGTATACAGCCTCCTAATGTATGTGATGTCTATTTCTGTTTCTACAATGATGTAATTCTCTCTTTCTCTAATAATTATTTCTTTATTGTGTACCCAGTTGATATTTTTTTTAAAAAGTTATTAATGCAATGAATTTAAAAATTGTATATACTATGTTTGACAAAGACTGTGCTATATTTTTAATTGCTTTGGTATGATCTCAACCAATTGCAAATTACTTTTTGGAGAGTTTTTCCCAAAAGCTCCTCAAATTATTGATCAATCTAAAATAAATAGCCAGGCTTTCAGGGTCCAGAATGTCATGCACATATGACATATTTGTAAGCACTGTGCGATTTTTTTTCTTTGCCAGATCATAATTTTGACAGCAGCCAATAAATACAGTGGAATAAGTGGACAGAAGCTTTGGATGAAATAACTGTAATTCAAACAGATTTGATCCCCAAGATTTAATTCAACACTCAATCAGGAACACTAAAAGTATTTTCAAATCTTTGATAGATTATTTTATGTATTGTAAAACCCAGCCAAATAAAATAAAATATATAGTATTTTAGTCTGCCTGTAAACTAAACTTCTGGGTTTTGGCTAAAGTTTTAGTCAGTTTGGAGAAAAGTATAAAAATCAGATTGTTTAACATATCTCTGTGATTCTCTTCTCTAACCAACTATTTTCCTCCACTTGTTTGCAATGAATATACTGTATATTCAATATGTACACTATAGTAGAAGAATCAATACAATGTCTCTGTCTGACAGCTATCCACCGTTCTTTTATGTATATGTATTTATTAAGGTTTCCCAAGCTTAAAAAGATTCTGAGCAGCTTACAATGCATCTCATACGCAAGAAACACAATTAAAATAAGATGATTTTCTGGACTAAAGCAACATTATTTAGAAAAAATACTTGACACAGTTCTGCATACAACCTAATACCAGGTCTGGGATCAGAGACAATATATTAAGGGACATGTAGAATCTTGGGCAGGTTTATTATCTGTAAACTTACTTGGGTATAAGTTTCAATGTTCTCAGTGGTATATTTCAGGCATAACTTTCAGGCAGCCTTTCAGCAGCCATGGAGTGCATTTTCTTTTAATTTTTAAAAAATTCCTAAGAACTTTAGAAAGTAAAATAGTTATATTATTAAATTGAATAAAGCGATGACACCAGGTGGAATTAAACAGCTGTTTTTTTAAAAAAAGATTTATATAAGTTTTTCCAAAGTTTGACTTTATTTCCCCATCTATATTAAAACAAATCAGTTTGGTGGGAGATTTGCTACTAAACCTTGATGTCAGGCTGTGGCAGAAGGATTGAATTTCAATTTGAAATTACACTGGGGGTAGTTTATGTTAAAGTGACAAAGTGGCAGCTCTCTATTTCAACAAAGTGTCCTTTGAGAAAAATCCCAAATTCATTGCACCCCATGATTATAAAATTGGGATTTCATAGTGCTGCCTTCATTATCTTGCTGAGAAGTAAGCCTTGCTTTTTTAAAAAAAATCTTATCCCTTGAAGATTTAGGGATGAAGAATCAGTGAAACTTAATCTAAAGTACAAATAGAGACAATAATAGAAGACTGAATGGCCTGAATGGATCCATTTCTCTTCTCACATTAGAGGAACTATGCATGGTGGCATAGTGGTTAGAATGCAGTATTGCAAGCTGACTCTGTCCATAGACAGGAGTTCGATCCTGAGCAGCTCAAGGTTGACTCAGCCTTCCATCCTTCCTACGTCAGTAAAATGAGGACCTTTGGGAGGGCTCTCTTCCAAAAGGAAAACCATTTCTGTCTAAGATAGTTAACCTTTACTGACACATTAGAAAGGACACAACGCTAGAAATCTTTTCCCTGTCACTATATGTCTATATGGTATGGGCTGCTACCAAAAGAGTCATTTCCTTATAGCCTCTGTTTTTATATTTCCATATCCTAATCAGTATTCCTCTAGTGATATGTTTTATGTAATCAATATTCCTTCTGGTAGCTCATTTCCATTTACTAATGAAATAATTTTGTATAAATGAGCTATTCCTTCAGTGGACAGTTAATAATTTTGGAAAGATTTTTGATTTATCCCAAAGTTGCTTATGCTGGTTGATTAATAACTTTCAGTAATAAAAATGTTGGTTCTACTTCTCCAAATTGCTTTAAAAGTTATCATTTTCTGACTAATGGTTGAATTGTGTCAAATGAGGGTTATAAACTTAAGCCGTATTGCAAATACATATTACTGATGGTGCTTAATGTTAATAAGGGATATTGTGAATTTAATTAGTGATACAGTATCTGCTACGACGGCCCCTGGCACAACATTTCTATATATTTCTGCTTAGATATTAGCCTCTAGAATTTAATGGAATATTTCATGGAGAATATAAAAAGGAACATAAGTGTATCCTGATGAAATCAATCCAACAAAATAATGCTATGATTAATAGCACTAAATGACTAAAGATCAGTAAAATTAAAACATCATTCCACCATAAGTGAAAATTTAAACAATAATATAATACACACAAGGATCAGCTGAAAATGAGTGAATCAACCAATGAAAGACTAGGCACATGTACAGAAATCTGTTTCAAAAGAATGAGGCTTTTGGTCCCACTTCTTCCTGAAGTATACTATTGAAAAAGCATTGCTGGTCTTAATTAAAAGTGTGAATGCTATAAAGGTGTATTTGCAAGACTACTATGCTCATTGAAACTTATTTCTAAGTAGGTATACACAGGATTAGGCTAGACTGGAAAAATGGTATTCAGAAATCATCCTGTTCTGATATTACCCTTTCCTAAAGCACAGGGTAAGAATGGATGATTCTTTTATAATTATTTGGAATTCCTGAACATATCTTGTTCATACAGGGCTCTCGAATCGGGGTGAAATGCTACTGGTTTGGGCTGGTTTTAGTAAAATTGCTACCTGTTCGCCTGAACCCGCTGTTAAAAAATGCTAAAAAAGTTTTTAAAAAAAGTTCTGATGATCATCTGTGTGACAATCAGCTGTGCTATGCGATCGTGGGAACATTTTTACTTTTTAAAGCATTTTTAAGTTGACCACGCCCACCCAGCCACATGACACCCACCAAACCATGCCCACAGAACCAGTAGGGAAACATTTTGAATTTTACCACTGCCTCGAATGTATGCCAACGTTCATGTGAGTTCACTGGAAATGCTGGATTTGATACAATTTCCCTAGAATCAAATATATACTTGCAATTCTGGATGTATCTCATATTGAAGTAATTGATTAAATGGTACACAAGAAAATGGAAGGAAAATCATTGTCTCTCAGCCCAACCCACCTCATGAAGGAAAAAGGAAGAATAGTTATGATTACTGTGTTTGTTTGTCTCCTTAAGCTATTTATGAAAATAATAAAGGTAAGATATAAATTCATAAATAAAATCGATTCCAACTTACTTTTGCGTGAGACAGGGCTATATCCTGGAAATAAAAAAGTGACAAATAATTAGCAAGTACATATCATTATCTATCACAGTCATAAAAAAAAGGAAAGCATTTCAAAGAATCACATTATCTGTGCATAGCAATTAATGCCTTAATTGTTTTCTGAATAATTCATGGATGCGAAACACTTTTTAGTCTAGGCACAATATCCCAGGAGTCTTTTCTGTATATGCTCCATTATAAAACAGGGTATGCTTTTTATGTGATTCTCATTCATTTTTCCTTGGGTGAAGGACATTGCCCATTTGATCCATGTCTGCAACCTTGATTTTATTCATGATTTTCATTTCATTTCTATCAAAACTCACAATTTATTTATAAGAAGAAAGTCTCTTATTTTACATACTTGGTTTTTCTAAAGTGTCTTGCTAAATATACATAAAATACTATTCATGGTATTAGGAATATTTCTAAAACATTTTTAATGGAATCAAAATAAATATTTTAAATAAATTTATTTATAAATAAATAATAATGAATTTACTAATTATAAATAAATTAATGAGTGTTTTATTTTATAAAATATGTTTAAAATTTGAATAATTTTTAGCAACACCTAAAAGCACATTAAAAACACATAAAAATAAATGTAAGTGGTTCTTACCAGCATCCCGTTTTCCCATTAAGCCATAGAATTGCTGAGGTCTGGGTCTTCTGGCAATCCTCTGAAGAAAGTGTTCAAAAGGGAAAGGCAGCTTCTCCTGAAACAGAAATATAAAAAGACTATTTCAGTGCTCAGCTTCACTTATAAAATTGACATCCATTAAACAACAGAGAGCACATAACCTGGAAGGTTTACATATTCTGAGCTTTCTTTTTCTTTTCCCTGATCTGATACCTTCAAAAGCCTTCAGGAGCTTATTTCAAAGGAAAGGGATTTTCCCACCTTCCTCTAAATTCAAATGAGCAAATGGATATAAATGTTAATCTAGGATCAAAAGCTTCCTGCATTTAGGCACACATAGGCCACAAGAGGGCGCTGAAAATTAAGAGCTGGAAATTGTGAAGATTTGGTTCAAAATTGATGGATTGATTGAGTAAAGTTTTGAAAACAAGTATGCGATCTGTTTTCATTCTTAACTTTTTTGTATCTAGATAATCCATCTTAATCCCTTGCAAAAAGCATGAAACAATGAACTTGTCTGATCACCTATAAATTATGGATGTGTTTTATGAATAAACCATGAGATTGCCTGACAGGTGTTGACTTAGAAGATGGTAGCGAGGAATATTAAATGAACCAAGGTCTGATACAACCAAGGCAGCTTCATATCTTCTTAAGTATTCTATCCTGTGGTTGCTTGCACAATGATACGCATGGGTTGCTCTGGAAATTAGATTTTACAGAAAAGATACATGGCTATGGGCCAAGCTGAATCTGTGAATTTGGGATCCAAAAATTATATTTCAACTTCTTCCATAGGAATCAGCAAAATGTTTGATGGAATATAGTGCCAATTGAGCAAACAGGACAGTCTCTAGATAACACCACATCGAATCACTTTGAATATTAAATGGTTTAGCAGTACTTTCAGATCATTTATCACATCACATAAAGCTCTACTGGGATTTGAGTACATGTAACAAATCACAGACTTATACTGGGCATCTTTATGTCAAGTATCTTTGATTATTTTTTCCATATAACTGTGCAAATTTGAGCAGCATATGTAATTGGTATTAAATAGCAAAAAGAGCTGGAACACCCAATTTCAACACCCAATGAAATAAATCACGGATGAGTTTAAGCAGGTAAGCAGAATTTCAGCATGAATATTTACCTTCCCTATTACATTCAATTGCTAACTTATTCATTTCTTCAGCTTTTTAATTTCTGTCCAGAAGGGAATTACAAGGGCAAGTTTGATGAGATGCTGGTGAACCATAAAATATAAATGAATTTAAGGGGAAAAGGCGTAGGTATAACTTTTCCTGTTCCCACTCCTTATTTGAAATGCAAGAATTATTGTCAAGAGAAGTTAAACATAAGAGAAAAAAATCATGTCTCAAACTAAAGAGATTTAAGTCCTATTTCTTAAAAAACCTTTATGTTATTGTTCTCTCAAATGGTTTCCTCCCATGACATATGCAATTCCTATTCATAGTAACTTTTATTTTTCACCCAATTTTGGTTCGCAAGCTATGGTTAAAGGAATGATCAGTATACTGACTGAAGATTTGACATATACAATGTCATCCAAAGAAGATACCCTATCAGCTAGTGGTAATCACCGAACATTATAATAAGGGGAATTGATGGTGTTGATTATAGAGGCCTGGAAAGGAAATATCACAAATAGACAAGGAGCCTAAGGAGCTTAGGCCTTGGGGTTTTAATCTATCTTGTAGGCAAATTTGTTATCATTCTCCTGATGCAGACAGAAACACAACCCGAAAACCAGGACAAACAAGTAATATAATAGAATTCAATATATCTTTTCCTAAAGTCTTTCCATTTAATTAAACTGCCAAATGTGGACATTTCCTACATTTTGCAATTCCGAAAAGAGGACGGCAGTAAAGAGAAGTGATTTTACTGTGGCATGAAGAAGACTTGTGACCGGATAAGATGGCTCTTGCTACTTTCTCTCAAATATGAACAGTCTTGTTATGTATGGGTGTCATACATAGATGATTTTAGATTCTCAACTCAGTGGTTGAGGGCTATTTTCCCTCTGATTTGTGAGCTATACTGCTTGGCTTAGTAATTTTCTAATAACTCTCCTCTGTCATATGCAGATTTCACAATCTGGCTTCCAAATCCATTTTTTAGACTCGTATCCTAAAGTATTTATGCCTTCTTTTAAAACCCTTTAAAAGCTGGTTAATAATTACAGTAAAGAGCGATTTGAAATTAGACCCGTTCTATGGACATAATTACAGGACTTGATTGATTAACATACAACATACAATTTCGTGGACGGTCAAATTCTGATTATCCCTAAGATCAGCCTACCTCACGGGGTTGCTGTGGTGATGAGAATAACATGAAGAAAAGACTCCCTGGTACGGCACCCTAAGCAGGACAGCCACGACACATTAAGAAGTAAGATTAAAAAACTCCGATGCGTTTACTCACGCTAAGAACGCAACAACTGCTAGAAAGCGCGCGGGAAGGAGCGACGTCAGGAAGCAATCGCTCTTTTTCACCGGTGGCCTCAGTTTGGAAAGGAGAACTTGACGCTCCGTCAACACAATCCGGCGCTCTCGCCTGGGCCGAAAGGAGGATGCAGAGAGGCGGAATAGAGCGGATAATTCGCCCCGACGTCGCCTCAACTGAGCGCGAACGGCCAGCATTCCTTGGCGCACCTGCCAAAAGCTGGCGGCGTCAGGGATCCCCGTTCACACGGCCAGCTCCTGCCCGCACTGGTCTTTACTCCCTCGCCCGCCCGTGCCCCGCCATCCAGCCATCCTTGCCCTCGACCGTTTTTCAAAAGCAACCTAAGTTGCGGAGGTCCTCCCCAAAGTGGCGGAGAGGCGCCGTTTCGTCTCACCTGGTTCTGCTCGCCTCCGTCGGACCAATCCGCCCAGTAGTTCAGCTCGTGCTGGTCTTCTAGATCTTCCCCCACGGCATGCGCGGAAGATAGGAAGAGCATGACCAAAAGCAGCATGGCCTTCTTCATTTCCAGCTTTTTCTCCCGCCGAAGGGCAGCCGAAGAATCCTAGCAGAGCAGCGTCGAGAGAAGCGAAAGCGCTCCTTTCCCGCTTTTGCGCCTGTTGCAAAGTTGTCCGAAGCTGTTGGTAAGAGAGGAGGAGAAAAGTGAAGGATGAGTGTGAAGGTTCTTCCCCCCACGTCCCGCTACAGAAGACCATAGAAGGAAAAGGGGACATCTACGTAGCCCATAGCACCCGCCCCGTAATCGATCTGGATGTATAAAATTGAATTAGAGCAACATCCAGACAAGCAAGCAGGCAGGCAGCCAACCAGCCAGTCAGCCAGCCTGCCAGCCTGCCTGGCTGCCAGCGCCAATGAACCCCGAGCACTTACTGCTACGGAGAAAGGTGACCCAGTAGCTGCTTGGTGGAATACCAAGTGCCAAGCTAAGAATCCTCTCTGCTTTATAGTCCAGAGGATGTGGGAGGTCTTAAATCTAATGACTTCCAGGTGTTTGTCATATGAGTCACTTGACTAGCCCCCTCCCCTCACCCCACATTACCATCATATGTGTTCAATATGCAGTTGCCACCAGGCTCTTCTTGAATGAAAAAGGCTTCTTTTGGAGATGCTCTCCCCATGAATTATTATCTTTTTTTTCCTCATCTCTTTATCCGAAATCTGTGACAACCCCCACCCCAAGGGAAAACTTTATTTCGCCCAGCAGGCAGCATCTCCCAGCTTACAAAGTACCTATAGCCGTAGGATGTGGTACGTATAGCCCTAGGATGAATCGTCAAAGTAGATCGAGTGATTTATCTATAGCGACTTTGATATAATATTTTGAATGACAGACCTACTGTCATTTAGAGACTGAACCCCAAATTTCAATTAAAGGATTGGCAGAATGTTTTTTAAGCAAACTATATGTTATAATAATATAGTATATGTAGAATAAAATAAGCTTCAATGAGATTTTTTTGTAGTATATGTGGAATAAAATAAGCTTCAATGATGTAATGAAATCATTACGTCAACAATTGTGTATAAAATACTTTGCTCACACTGCTTTGTTGCAGAAATTTCTGGTACTTGTTCCATTGTTTATTTTATTCTAGGCTTAGTCAAGACTTTATAGTTACAGGCAAAAGCAAATAGTGAGACAGCCTCATGCATAAGGACAAAATTTGAGGTATAAAAGAGAAACAACTTAATTTGCAAAGACTGTGGTTTCTGCTATAATTCAATGGCCATTCCTACTCTACAATAGTCACCATTTCTGCTGTCTTTTTATTATTGTTAAGGCAAAGTTATATAGACACAGTATTGGTTAGGTGATTTTAGAAGATGCTGGGGGCATTTCTCCACATCTAAGCTGAAGTATCATGAACACATTTTGACATGGCAGAAAACTATACCATCATAATATTTGCTGGCCCCATTCCTGGCTCTGTTGTTTCTCTTCCCACTTATTGCAATCACCAGATCACCTTCCAAATTACAAAGCTTAACAAATGTGGTACACTTTGAATCTGATCTTGGATTGAGTCAGAATAAGAATAAGAAAACTGTTTTAAGACTGGCAGAAAAAAGGATGAGTTTTCACAGGGTGAAGAGAAAAATGGAGACATCATAGAGACAAGGCAGAAAAATATGTTGTCATGATTTTAATTTGGTGCACGTAGAGAAAGGTTATAAAGCAACTAGTAGGAAAATATACCACAAAGGAAGAAAGAACAATTTTGGATACTAAATTATTAGTATGAAATATTTCCTGAAATTTGAGAAGAAAAGATAGAAAATGAGTTTGCTTAATGATGAGTGATGCAAGTAATTTTTTATATGCATCACCCAATTGCATCAGTATGCATGTAAATAGTAGTCAGGTAGTTCTAAGGGGAATAAGTTTGAAGTTTGTGTATTTTAACCAAGATTAGCTGTCAATATATAAATTTTAAGGAATGCAACAAGAAACTAAAGGGATAAAACAATAGAATGAATCTCCTGCAGTGTGTTTTTCAGAATAAAATAAGGATGAGAAAAAGTATCCTAAATGAAAAAGATGAACAACTCTCTCCTGTACTGAGGCATCTAAGCCAGGGGTGTCAAATTGGCAACCTGTGGGCTGGCTGTGTCATGTGCAGGCCCTGGCCACCCCAGCTCTGTGAAGGGAAGAACCATTACGATACATCACCTGATGACAACGTGACGCAGCAAGATTAACACCCGTGATCTAAACTATCACCATCAAAATTAAAGAAGTAACACTGGCTAAGGGAGAAAACACATATAAATAAGCCCTATTCAACCCAATTTCATTTTATTTAAGTAAATACAGTATTTATTTATTTATTTATTTATTTTATTAATATTTATAGGCCGCCATTTTCCCCGCGGGGACTCAGGGCGGCTTACATAAAATAGGGAGGGTGGGATAAAAAAAAAAAAAAAAAAAAAAAAAAAGAGTTAAAATAGTACTCAACATTCATTCTTCATTCGGGTGGGGACAGATTGTGATCTTATCCCCAGGCCTGACGGGATAGCCAGGTCTTGAGGGCTGTGCGGAAGGTCTGGACCGTGGTGAGGGTACGAATCTCCACGGGGAGATCGTTCCAAAGGGTCGGAGCTGCTACTGAAAAGGCCCTCCTCCGTGTAGTTGCCAGTTGGCACTGACTGGCGGATGGTATTCGGAGGAGGCCCAATCTATGTGATCTTATAGGTCGCAGGGAGGTAATTGGCAGGAGGCGGTCTCTCAAGTACGCAGATCCACTACCATGGAGGGCTTTAAAGGTGGTGAGTATCAACTTGAAGCGCACCCGGAGATCAACAGGTAGCCAGCGCAGGTCGCGGAGGATAGGTGTTATGTGGGCGAACCGAGGTGCGCCCACAATCACTCGCACGGCCGCGTTCTGGACTAGCTGAAGTCGCCGGATGCTCTTCAAGGGCAGCCCCATGTAGAGCACATTGCAGTATTCCAGCCTAGAGGTCACAAGGGCCCGAGTGACTGTTGTGAGAGCCTCCCGGTTCAGGTAGGGTTGCAACTGGCATACCAGGCGAACCTGGGCAAATGCCCCCCTGGTCACAGCCGTCAGATGGTGGTCGAAAGTCAGCTGTGGATCCAGGAGGACTCCCAAGTTGCGAACCCTCTCTGAGGGGTATAAAACTTGACCCCCCAGCCTGAGCGATGGAACACTGGTCGAATTTTTGGGAGGGAAACACAACAGCCACTCGGTCTTCTCTGGGTTGAGTACAAGCTTGTTAGCCCTCATCCAGTCCCTAACGGCTTCAAGACCCCGGTTCACCACGTCCACCGCTTCATTGAGTTGGCACGGGGCGGACAGATACAACTGAGTATCGTCTGCGTATTGGTGGTATCTTAACCCGTGCCTCCGAATGATCTTGCCCAGCGGTTTCATGTAGATACATATACAGTCGCACTATTGATATGCTAGAACATGATTGGAATTGAATAAAATTGTTCATTAGGTCCAAAAGGAACACATGACCATATTGCAAAATGCCAATTTTGATTCTTTAGAGCCATAAGGACTATTGTAATAAAAAAATTTCTGTAACACTGGAACTGGAAGTATATTGAATTCCTTTTCAGAGACTAACAAATCTAGCATCCTGTTTTCACAGGAATCAGCCACATGCCTCTAGAACAGTGGTTCCCAACTTTTTGGGGGGGCCATGCTCCATCTAAGCATCTCTCAAATCCGGATGCCCCCCCCCCTTCCCGGTGACATATAATTCTTACTTTACTCAAAAAGTGAACTCTACTCATGTGGAGGAAGTCTAAAAGGCCATTAACTTGATTTAAACAAGGTTCAAATTGCTTCCATAATTAAGCTGTTCTTTCCTATTGTGTTAAGGAGTTAGATGGTAAATCATATAAACAAAGACCTGGAGAAGTGCTGCTAGTATTAGATATTAGATTAGCTATCCAGGTTCCAAATAGGCTTAGGTCTGTAGCTGCCAGTTGATACCTTAACATGTGATAGCATAGTGTAGTAGCAGTTTGTTTACTTAAAATTCCAGAATATCATACAAGAAGAGAAAACAAGCCCTTACAGGAAGCTTAAACTTTTATCCTCACACTCATAATCAAATACATAGAAAGCCATTATGATTTATGAGTGACCCATTTCCTTGCCAATTAATGGGCACTCAGACTCAAGAAATTTTGCTCCGTTTGCAAAACTAAAACAGTCTAATTGTAATTGTCTATACTGTATATTTGTGCCTCACACCTTTAATCATCATCTTTGGTGATAGATGGAAAAGAAATTCATTTGATTTAATCTGTGAATACACATCCAAAAAGTTTCCTAATGATTTGAGCAAACTGAATTGGCCTTCTCTCCTTTAATACTTATAGATTGCTCTTGCCTTTTTTTTACAGCTAATTAAAAAAGTGGTATTGACAGTAATTTACACTTGATACATCTGGATATGATTATCAGCAAAAAATTGATTATACCAACAAGGCAGTCCAATTAGGATATACATCTTCTAAGTCAAGGGGAAAATGATCTCAACCAGTTTCTTTTGTATCTGCTTGCTGACACTATCAGTTCTATTGTAATAATTGTATGTGCTGTAGGAGTTTTTGATTATCATTGGCAGGTGAGGTTTGAGAGATCCTTTCTTACATTTTTACTCTTAATGTATAAGAAGTGTTTCATTGAAAAAAAGCCATAATTTCTTCTCATTTATTGGTATTGGTAGATTTATGAAGATATTTGCCCACAGGCAGGATGCCACGCATGTCCAGTGCAGTGGGCTCTCCTCAGCCTCCTAAGGAACATTTATTTATTCACTGTGACTTATCAGTATCACATGACACAATTATCACTGGCTACCCAGGTGATGCCACTTTTTATTGCAAGGAGAAAAGTGTTTGAGATTTGAATGCAACAAATTCCATCCTTGCATTTTATGCTAGAAAACTGGCTGAAATCCTGAATTGCTGGGACTCTCTACTTTTAGGCAGGAGTCAGTTGGATCAAGGTTGCAAATCAGGATAAAGCAGTTTTTTTATGTTTCTTTCACTTTTGCTTTGATGAACCGGTTAAATCGTACCATCTTACTCAAACTATTTTATACCTTGTTAGTTTAGAACAAGCACAACTCTTTCTTTTTAATTTTTTTTATATCCTGTCTTCATTATTCTTATAAATAACTCAAGGTAGCAAGCAAAACTAACATTCGTAGCTATTTTACCCACAACAGCAACAACCATGTAAGGTGGTCTTTTCTTTATGATTAAATACTTTCTATTTATAATTTAGTCTCAATCTTAAAATGTGTAGGCCCCTCCTTTTTAATTCAACAGTTGCTAATGGTGGTACCCAAAGAAGATCAAACAGCAGAAGTTGGTAGCTTTTTTTTTTTGTAAAATGTGACAAAAAGAAAGATGTAATCATGAAACTATTTTAAAAGTATAAGAAAGTAAA